CTATAATCTCTTGGTGGCTTTATTAGATCATCACAGCGTTTGTTACGTCTTTAAAATAGCTTTTATTAATTATCTCTTTATGGTAACCGAAACTTAAAGGGATTCAAATTGGATTAAAAATTAAATAAATTTTTTTTGATATTTTGAAGAAAATATATCCCATGCAGGCTTAGGGAGAAAGTCAATAAAAGTGGTGACAGACTAATATAAGGGACAAGAATTTCTTATAAAGGCTGTGCAACTAAATTCAGTGACATGGATAGAGAAATATGTCGGTCATATCAACAGGTTTGGGCAACAAAATTGCTTTGATGCTCAGTTAAAAAAAACAGAAAGAAAAAAAAACAGGTATGAAACTCCTTTTAGTTCCAGGCAAGTTACAGTATTTGTCTTGACACACAGGAATCCAAGACAAATCACACTACAGCTGAGATGGTGTGATGTGTAAATACTAGGGTAAATTTGAGCTGGCATCTGTTCCCTGAGCTCCCCTAATGATTTCGATCCAAGTCACTGGCTATGAATCAGACACACTAATCATTTTGAAACTGGTCAATCTGACAGAATTTCTATCTGGTGCGAGCAAATTGTTACAAAGACATTGGTTACAGTGTCAGCATGTTCATTTTAAGCAGTAGAAATAGAAGTGTTTGCAGGGCCATTTTTCCATTTTATTTGGACTTGTGGTTGTTTTTCTAGTTTTTTCTGCATTTGATTTGCTCTCCAGATTAGTTTGATGCCATCAGGGGAACACTTGAAGTGTGTTGGTGAACTATAGCATTATGCGTGATTTGCATATTATGCATTATGCTGCAGTTGCATATGCAACTATTTAGTTGGATTTGAATGTAAGGAGTAACTTGATTGTGTGGTGATATTGGTGTAATGATATTTTTATAGGTTAGTATTTCCCCATCTGCATGTCTTTAAGATGACTTCTGTTTTGATGTAATCAGAGGCAGAGAAAGTTATTACTTTCTTTAAAAAGAAGAAGTTTAAATGATTATGCATAAATTATGCACAATATTGAGAATTGATTAAAAATGTAGTCAGTCACCCTTAATGTCATGTTGATTTCAAGCGTTTTATATCTACAGTTATTGTTTGATTCTTCAGTGTTATCTTCAGAGTGAGTAATCGACCCATTTGATCACCTCTTTGAGAGAAATAATAATAATTATAAATCTGAACAACCATTCCAATCATGATATTTCTTCAGTCTGCTGACACATGAGCCAAGGCCTATGAAATACATGTCTGTAATCAGCAGGAAACAACGTGGGAGGAGATCAATATTCAGTCAATATTTTACTGTTTTCAAAACCATTTTAGTTTAGAAAAGGTCACAAAAGTCAAAATATATAGAAAATGAAATATGGTATTGAAATAATGCTGTCAAAAGGAAATTAAACTGATAAGGGCAAGGGCGTTCATGTAGTGTGTAACATAGCTCTAAGTGAATGAAAACATCCTGCAAAGTTTCAAATCTGAAAGTGCACCGTATATTACAGTAAGTTATTGTCTTTGAAAAGTAAGAGTCGAGTCAATTAAATGAATCGTTTTTCAAACGAGTCATAAGCCGTTTCGTTGTGACGTCAAGACGAAACATTAGTATATTGCCCGCCCACGTATTGCACGCGCCAGGGAAAACTTGAACCTCAAACCGGCAGCTGATTTCTGTGGATACTGGACAGCATCATGTGGAGAAGACGGCGCTGTGCTCTATAATGTGAAGGTAAAGCCAGTTTTTTTTCACTGCCCAAGGACGAGGTTAAAATTCATTTTTACCATGATATCACAGCAGTATAATCCTAAACTTTTGCTGTGTTCCCTTTATTTTACTGACAACTGCTTCTCAAATCTCGGAGTTCAATGCAGGATTCGCAAACCGCTTGCTCTTGAAAGATGGTGTTCAAAAAACTTAGTTTTGAGTTTTATATTGTGTAGGTCTCCTGCTAACTGGCTAACTCATATTATTACTGTGTTACTGAAATAATGACAGCTGATCAGCTGTGGGCCATTGTTAATGCAGATTGTCTGTCGTTCTCACTAACGTTACTTTGATGAAATATTTGTTTTACCAACGTTTATGTTACATCAGATCATTCACTCTAGAGCTCGGCTAATGTACATTGCATACTTGCACTGTTATTGATACAGTTTCCATGTATTCAATGCAATGTATTACAAAAATACTCGGTAAATAAATGAGTACAAGTAAAATAATCGGTTTGTTGATGGACATGCACTTGTTAATGCTGATGGTGAGGAATTACAGTTGCAACATCTTATAATGTGCCTCAAACTGAGAAGTGTATCACTGTGAAACGTCCTGCTCAAGTCGTCCTTGCCATGGAGGTTCGGGTTGAATAACTAGCTCTTCCAGTGTTTCATCATCGGACTCGTGCTCGCATTGATATGGTCAAATCGACGTCGTTGTTCGTTAGTCTGTTTAGTTTACGGTGTAGGAAGCCTCAGGACAAGCAGAGCTGACGTTGTTAAGGCAATGGACATTTTTGTTTTCAACGCGCTGTACACGGTAGGCCAATCACAACAGACTGAGCTGTCTGGACAATCAGAACAGAGTAGCTCGCGGAAAGGAGGGATTTAGAGGGATTGATTCATTTGACGAGTCGTTTGAAAATGTGATGATGTGCAAATGTATATTATGAGCAAATTAAACAGTTTTTTTTTACCTTTGATGCATGTTGTAAACATGTTGTAGGAGACTCCACAACAACATTAGGAAACTTTAAAATAGCATAATAGGGGCACTTTAAGTTTTGAAGGTCTCCTACAATAGGTTTACATTAGGGCCGGGACTTTAACGCGTTAATTAAGATTAATTAATTACAGACTTTAACGCGTTAATTTACACAAAAAATAATTTTAATCGCACTAATTTTGCACCGCGGAACGTTTCTCACTGGATGAGTTTCGGTGGACCGATTATACTGGAGCACCAACTAGCGTTCATGATGAAGAAGCTGACGAGATTGCTTGCTTCATAGATCGCCTAGATCGCTTTGGTTGGCCCCGTGGATGGGAAATTTTGTTATAAAAACGGATGGAAGCGTCGATAAGAGCATGGTTGTGTGCAAAGTTATGCAACAAGGAATTCGCTATTGCTATTAGTGTAGCTATTGCTACATTTAATGGCAAAAATTGAACTGGTCTGCTGGACTTGGTTTGACAAAAATAAACAATATGTTGTTGATTAAGCTTATGTATTGTCATTATTCAATGGTATACTAAAAATCCATGTGAAAAAAATTACTTCTCACTCTTCTCAGGTCAAATATTTATGCAATTAAAATGCGATTAATTTCGATTAATTTATTACAAAGCCTCTAATTAATTAGATTAATTTTTTTAATCGAGACCCGGCCCTAGTTTACATGCATTGCAGCATCACCTTTTTTTCTCTGTGTCTGAAACAGTTCGATCAAGGATTTGGTCTCTCTAAACCAACCAATCCAATAGCCTACTGTGCTCTGATTGGTCAGATGGCTCAGTCTGTTGTGATGGGTCTACCGCTTACAGCGAGTGTCGGAATCAAAACTCCATTACCATATCTGAATTTCAGCTCCGGAGGCTTCCTCGGCACCTGATACAGAGTAATACAAACAATAACTGTGGCGTTGGTTTTACCGTATCAATCTCATCCTTTGAAAGTCCTCGCAAAGTGGATTTGCTTTTGTAGCACAGAAAACAGCGTCTCTTCGACATGTCACGAACGACGTCACGTCTCTTCGACAACACAAACCAAAATCTTTCAGGCCTCAGCTACAACTACAGTGTATGAGGGCGGGTCAAAGTAGACGTTGTTCGCAGGCAGCCAATGAAGACCATAGGCTGGCATTTTGTAATTTTTTTTATTAGTTTCTGGCAGTTCAGAATCGGTTCTTTGTTTTAGGAAACAATAAATACAAATTTCTAGCATGAAACTCTAGATGGTGCAGGGCCAGGCTGATAAGTCCTTAACTAAATTTGGTAGCGATTGCATCGTCATCTACAGTACATAGCGCAGCTGATTGGTTGCTGTTGCATCAGCGGCCAATGAGCTGTGGCTCCACACTTAAATACCAGTAGTGTTGCTGTTAGCAGTTGCAGCGTGCTTTCAGAAACCCTCCACCTTCCCCAGCTCCACCTGTATAGATCTGCTACGGGGGTTAATTAATGTATGCTACATGTGCAGCAGCATGTCTTACATGCTCACAGCAATGTCTGTGAATGTATTGGCAGTAACAAGTCTCTGTACTTGCTCTGCAGCAGCAGCAGCAGCGTTGCAGATCTATTCCGCCAAGACCAAATGCATTAACATTGCCATATCCATTACCATGCCAATCTTTTAGAGAGTTGTTCATGACAGAACATGACATTTATCATGCATTTCAATCTTTGAAACTTTGCAGAAGTTTGTCTGTGTGTCTCTCCTTTCAATTGGCTGTTACCGAACCAGTTACAGAACTGTTAATTGACATAAAAATACTATATCTAACATTAACAGAATAGAAAACTTCTTATATTAAAAAATTGTAAGTAGACACACAAAATTCTAAAATTCATGAGGGGATCCCTGCTGAAAAGACCAGTTTAAACCACAAGGCATTTGCAAACTGGTTTATGCGGGTTTCATATTGGTTTATACTTGTTCACCAACAAAACTTGACCAGCATCGCCTGAAGGGTATACCAGTTTTCCGTGCTTGGGAACCAGCATTCAAAACATATGGTGATAAGCAATGCTGGGGTTACTGTTGAATTCAGTTTGAATTCCCATTTGTTTTAAAAATAATAGAATGTAAATATATGTGGACATCAATCACTCTTTCCAGCAAAAAATATGATTTCAGTATACATGTTGTGGCCTGCAGTGTCCCATTTTAAAGCACAAAGCTGTGAAGATCCCATTGAAGATCACAAAACCTCAAAAAGCACATTGAGCTGCCCTTCAAATATCCCTTTGTCTCCCCTTTCTAAACAATAACTGTCACTCACCTGTGCTGTCTTCATAAACCACAGTAACAGACTTCCATTTGTAGAAAATGACAATGTCCAGGATAGCCCTGCTTATGGAGGTGTACTCAGGGTAGAGGTTAATGTAAAAATTGTCTTTATTGTCCACAGATGGGTGTTTCCAGCGTGTCTGGATGTGTGGCACCTCTAGAGCATTGCAAATGGATTGGACGGCACTGACCGAGGAGCTGTGAGAGGGGCCGAAGACCGCCGCAACCCCCAGGGCCAGCTGGTCACATACTGAGAGAAGAAAAATGGAGAGAGAGAACAGACAGGGAAAGAAAAACAGGTGACATGAGAAAATGTATATTAGAAACAGAGAAGAGAACAGAACAAAGCATGTACATAATAAAAGCAATAGTCTGGCCTTTATATTTCTACTTAGCAAATTTCAAAGAATAAAATAGTAAAATAAATTCAAAATTAAATCAATCAAAAAAAGTCATACCCCTTCGGGAGGCTTCAAAGCTGTCAAAGAGGTTAACTCTCTGGATGTCGTAGGTCAACGTGGTGTTTGGCATCAAGGTTCTGTTTCGGTTGATACTTGTAACAGCAAATTTAAAGGCGAGTTCATCCATACTGACGGGTTCATTCTCCCGCGTCTCAAAGATTCCCCCTTTAACCAAAATAAACAGGGCTGAGCAACAAGTAAGTAAGGAGTCTAGTTAAAACAGAGCCTAGTTAAATTTACAAATAAAATTTAAATTAGTCTCCAGGTAATGGATTTATCCCAGTTCCACACTAATTCAAAAGCAGTTACAAACAATAGTTCCAAGCTAATGCTGAATATAAATCAATTTCAAGTTCATTCTAAAGCATAGGCCTGCTAAAAAAGCACAATCTAGTTTTTGTTAGTTCCTTAAAAACACATTTAAAAACCAGTGTCTAGCTAAACGTACAAAAATAAATAAATAAATAAAACCAGTGCCCTGGAAATATACATTTCAGGTCCATACTAATTTAAAAACAGTTATAAACAATAGTGCCAAGCTAATGTTAAATACAAATCAAATCCAAGTTAATGATAAAGTATATTGAAAAAATTTAGTCCAGCTCTTGAAACTCTGGATGTAGGCTGATAAGTCCTTAACTCGATCTGCTTGGAAGGAAGGAAATTATTTTATTTGAAACAGGGACAATGCACAATAAACATTAAACTTGTTAAACAAGAGAATATGTCTTGGGCCAGGTTGTAGCAACATTTGCTAATTTGCACCTGTAGTCCCTGGGCAGGAATCTTGCAATCATATCATTCTCTATAGGCCACAGCTGATTGGTTCCAGCTGTATCAGTAGCCAATGAGCTCGCAGCTCAACCTGTTACTTGGTCAGCATGTACTGTAGCAGTTGCAGCACGCTTTCATAAACCCCGTACCTTCCCCAGCTCCACCTGTATAGACCTTCTACAGGTAATTCATGTATGCTATATTGTACTGCAGCAGCATGTCTTACTTGCTCACAGCAGCATGTCATATACACTCACCTAAAGGATTATTAGGAACACCATACTAATACTGTGTTTGACCCCCTTTCGCCTTCAGAACTGCCTTAATTCTACGTGGCATTGATTCAACAAGGTGCTGAAAGCATTCTTTAGAAATGTTGGCCCATATTGATAGGATAGCATCGTGCAGTTGATGGAGATTTGTGGGAAGTGGAAGTTGCCATCAGAGGATGGGTACATGGTGGCCATAAAGGGATGGACATGGTCAGAAACAATGCTCAGGTAGGCCGTGGCATTTAAACGATGCCCAATTGGCACTAAGGGGCCTAAAGTGTGCCAAGAAAACATCCCCCACACCATTACACCACCACCACCAGCCTGCACAATGGTAACAAGGCATGATGGATCCATGTTCTCATTCTGTTTACGCCAAATTCTGACTCTACCATCTGAATGTCTCAACAGAATTCGAGACTCATTTTTTTTTTTTTTTTTTAGAGAGAGAGACATCTTTATTCACATACATACTAATGCCAAGAACAAAGAAGATGATCAAGTATGTGAACTGGTCCCCAAAGAAGCTCTAAAGCTTATACTCGGGGGCCATAGCAATCAAAGTAAAAAAAGTAAAAAACAAACAAAAACAAACAAAAAAAAAACGATCGCAGATGTGTGACCATACATAGAAAATATTTCATACAACATTCGTACAACAAATAATAGGGGATCCCATTTCACAAGTACAGTTTTTCTTCACAGTGTACCATGAGATTATAAAATTAATACTGACATACATACAAAGTAAGAGATAATACATACTTCAAGAAAATGAATACAGACTCAATAATTGTTTTTTGAGTTTTTGTTTAAAATAAAGAAAAGAACTTGAATTTTTTAAGTTTTCATCCAGGTCGTTCCAAATCCGCGGTCCCCGGCACACCACACTCATACCAGTGCTTTTTAATCTCCGTTTTTTTCCAGTAATAATGTGCTTATTTCTAGTGAGGAAAGTGTGCCGGGGATAGCGAATAGGAACAAGTTCACACAGCCTACCATTTAGTCCATTGACCACCTGGTACATAGTACATGCATTATGAAATTTATTGTGTTCACTTAGTCTTAAAATACCATACCTAAGAAACATAGAGCAAGTTGGAGCATTAAAATCAGCCCATGAAATGGCACGAATAATTTTTTTTTGCAAAATTTCTAACTTTCTTAGGTAAGTACAGTAAGTGTTGCACCATATGATATTGCAGTAGTTTAAATGAGGTTCAAAGAGGGTTTTATAAAGAGTGATTAATGTTGCACGAGGAAACAGATATCTAAGCTTAAAGAACAGACCAACATACTTTGATAGCTTTTTAATAAGGTATTCAATATGGTGTTTAAAGTTTAGGTGATCATCTATAAAGACACCCAAGAATTTAGTCGTCTTTACTCTCTGTAGTTCCTCTCCCTCTATTTTAATCTGTAGATTTAAATCATCAAGTTTAAGTTGTTTTTTATTTGAACAAAATATTATGTAGTTAGTTTTACTAGTATTTATAGACAATTTATTTACTTTAAACCAACTGTCAACATTTTGAAGCTCTTTGTTAAGTAATTGTTGAAGTTCAAATTCATTTTTATGTGATAAAAACAAATTAGTGTCATCTGCAAAAATTACTTTATGCAGAATCTTTGATGAGTTTTCCAGATCATTAATGTAAATAATAAAGAGGAGAGGACCTAATATGGATCCTTGTGGAACACCACATTGAACATATTTGTTTTCTGAAGTCTGTTCGCGTATAGTTACATATTGTTGCCTCTGATATAAATAACTCTTGAACCAATTAAGAGATTGACCTCTAATTCCATAATGGTGCAATTTATACAATAATATGGAAAAATCAATAGTATCGAAGGCCTTTGAAAGGTCTAAGAATATTCCGATACCATATTCCCCCTTTTCTATGGCATCATTGATCTTTTCAGTAAGATCAAGGATTGCCATACTGGTGGTATGTTTTTTCCTAAAGCCATACTGGGATGGATTAAGTATATTCAATGTATTGAGATAATTAATCAATCTATTATACACTACTCTTTCCAGTATTTTGGAAAGACTTGGTAAGATGGATATGGGACGATAATTTTTTATTTCATTTTTGTCACCAGTTTTGTAAATCGGAATTATTTTTGCAATTTTTGTCATTCTGGGGACAATTCCTGTAAGCAGTGAGAGATTAATGCAATGTGAAAGTGGTTCAATTATTTCATTCGCAATACCTTTTAATATTTTGTTACTAATTTCATCTTCTCCAGCAGAATTTGAGCTCTTCAGAGCCATTATGATATTATATAATTCTGTGGCATCAGTAGGCTTTAGGAAGAAGGAGTTTGGATAATTGCCTGTCATATATTGTTGGTAAGTGTTACGATTTGTGTGTGGTTGTGAAATGTTTTTTGAAAGATTTGTCCCAATCGATACAAAATAATTATTAAAATCATTTGCAAGATCAATATTATTTATTGTGTCTGGGAGCACGGTATCTTTATGGCCCTTATTCAAAACATTATTCAGCACTTTCCATGATTTCTTAGAGTCTCCCTGCACAGTTTGTATAAGTTCAGAATAATAACTAGATTTACTTTTTCGAATTATATGTGTCAATTTATTCTTATAAGCATTATATTTAATTTTATTCTCTATATTTGGTTTTTTAACATATATTTGGTAGAGTTTATTTTTTTGTTTAATAGAGTTCAAAATTGCACTTGTTAGCCAGGGTTTGTGTTCTGCCCTTCTACGTGTGACATTTTTAATAGGAATAATGGAACGAATAGAATTAGTTATTTCATTTACCAAAGAAGCATATGCAGTATCAGGATTGCCGGAACAATAAACAGTACCCCATGCTTTAGTATGCAAACTTTCCTTAAGCTGATACATTGTTCTATCGTTTACTACTCTAATTTTTACCGGATGACATGACGGTAGGGATTTATAATCAAATTTAAAATACATCAATATTGGATAATGGTCAGATATATCAGAGAGTAATACTCCTGATTCAAGCTTGACATTTCGTACATTTGTAACAATATTGTCTATGACAGTTTTAGAAATATTTGTGACTCTGGTAAAGATATTTATAGTTGGAAAAAAAGAGGAGGAGTATAGTGTATTAATGAAATCATTTTTGACTGCATCGTTCTTGGCGACATCAATATTGAAGTCTCCAAGGAGGACGCAGTCTTTATTTAATTTATTTAAATATAATAAAGTTTCTTCAAGTTTACTATTGAAAACATTTAAATCAGAATCTGGAGGACGGTAAATCACACCCACAATAATGTTTTTGCCTTTATCCTTTTTTATCTCAATAAAAAGAGAGTCTGTATGATTATCATTTACAGCAAGATCGCAAACATCGACATGAATGTTCGAACGTACATAGAGGCATACCCCACCACCAAGTCTACCTACTCTGTCCTTATGAAACAATTTATAGTCTTCAATGTTTAAGGCATCTATGTACGATTTATCATTTAGCCACGTCTCACTACAACCAATTACACTAAAGCAACATTCAGTATTTAGGAGTAGGGAGACAAGCTCATCATAATGTTTATTCAAGCTTCTTATGTTTAAGTGCAGGAATGAAAAGTTATTTGCTATATTCAGACATTTTACGTGCTCAGGGTCATAATATTTACAAGTTATGTTATTTTCAACGTCAATACAGTGATGCATGTCATCTCCATCGTATGTCAAATCTTCAAATCCCATAGATAATAAAACAAAAAAGCATTTCCCCCAAAACTCACAAAGCAATCCAGACACACACACACACACACACACATACGCGGCCACAACAACACAGACATACAGGACAAAACAAATGAATAAAACCTTTTTGCGAAAGGCATTTAAGTGACTAAAGAATAAGCAAAAAAGAAAACGAAAAACAGAAGAAAAAAACAACAACAAAGAAAAAAAGCGTTCCAAGCACCCGCCCATCTTTACATCCTTATGATATATAATTGGCTATATATCATATGTTAATATTTACATTTCAGTCAGCCAAACAAACAAAATATTAAATCAGCGGCTTTCCATCCACATTAACATAATAGACTATTTTGATTAGTAGGATTAAACCTTTGAGTATTTTCATGAGTCAA